CCCTGCCGGCTCCGTCTGGTTCAGTTAGAGCCCTTTAAAGCCGAGCGGCTCCTGAGGGCTGGAGGCGCCCCGGAGGCGGCGTCCTGCGGGTCCTGCGGGCCCTGCGGGTCCAGCCCGTCTCCGAGGTCACCGCCCGGAGCTGAGCTGCGGGACTGAGCCCCGCGCGTCTGTTGCCTCCCCGCCGGGACTGGTTTCCGATGGAGCCGCCGCCTGGAAGGAACCGTTTTCGGTCCCCTGGCCCAGGGCGGGCCGAGCTTCACGGCCCCGGTTTGCAGGCGGGGTTCCGCGGATTCCGGCTGTACAGTTGGCCCCAGTGACTCTTGTTATTTTCCGAACCGTGAATTGGTTTGGAAAAGCTTTAAAGGGGCCCTGATGGGTCTTTTATTGACGTGAAACGTGAGTTTTCTCGGTTCCGCGTTCCCCTATGTTGTTTTGGTTGATATTCTGGAAAAAAAAACCCGCAACAAACCAAAAACCAAAACTAAGGCTGCCACTGTAAAAACCTGAAGGCCAGGGGGGCAGCAGGAAAAACTTAAAATACGGTTTTTAATTTAACCCAAATTAAGCAGGATACTGGGTAAGATAAGTATAAACCTCCTTACGGACACCTTTGCTCTTCATTTCGGTTTGAATTAGGAGAAGTTGAACACTGGAAAGGGTGTGTGCCTGTTCATGGAGGCATAGAAATGGGTAATAGTTTTTGTTTTGTTTAAACTTCTTTACCAGCACCTGGCCATTTGGTAGTGCCAGCAGCTGTATTTATTTATTTCTTAGCCAGATTCTTTGAAGTGGAAATTCGGGGTGTGGGGCCTTAATTTCAGTCTTGAGCCAACTATCGCCCTACATTTGGGTTCTGGATCGGTGGCCCTTAAGCTGATTCGAGTTTAAGCCCAGTTCTTCCCAGGTGTCGCCCCAGCTGGAGTGATCAGCTACTTGTAAGCTGCTGAGTTTGCTCTGCAGAAAGAAAAGCAAACAGATAATATTGTAGAAAATCACCTTTCAGCCTATTGTCAGTTCAGCTATTTTACTGAATTTCTCACGAGCTGATTAAATATAAGTGCCTTTCAGATGTCATTTTAATCCTTTTTTTTTTGCACCTGAAAGTTCTTTAGATGAAATTAATAAAATATTCAGTGAATGGCAAAAACCTGTGATTTACTTAAGGATCAAATAAAGCTGATGTTCAAGGTATATTGGAGCTGGTAGAGGGGCTTCTGGGCCAGTTCATTCTTATTAGGGAATCAGTCAGAGGGTACCTGTGGATAACTGAGTTGCCCACGTTCTCAGCGAATGAACAGTGCGTGGAGGGGAGCCCGTGTCCCGGATGCTTGTCCTGCAGCTCCCATGCCTCTCATCTTTCCCCCCTTGCCATGGTTTTTCTTCTGAGTTCAACACAGATTTTGTTGAGTGGTTCTCCAGGTAGCAGGCGGCATGTCAAGGTTTGGACTAGGTATGAGTGTCCCAGGGCTGTGGCAAATTACCACAAACTCTTAGCTTGAAACAGATTTCTTCTTTCATAGTTCTGGAGGCCAGAAGTCCAGAATCAAGGTGTCGGCAGGGCCACAATCCTTCCAAAAGTCCTTGGAGAATCTCTGCTCCTTTTGGCTTCCTACCTTCCGTGGATTGTGGCATATCAACCGCAGTCTCTATGCCTGTGTTCACATGGCTGTCTCCCCTCTCTGTCAGATACTTTCCTTCCTCTTATAAGGACACCAGTTATTGAATTTAAGGTCCACCCTAAATCCAAGATGATCTCAAGATTCATAACTTAGTTACTTGTGCAAAGACTCTATTTCCAAATTGAGGTCACTTTCAAAGGTACCAGAAGTTAGGACTTGGACATACCTTTTGGTGTTGTACACTGTTCAAGTCAGTGCAGAATATGAATATAAACATGGTCTTTCTTCACCAGGAGCTTGGGGAGGTATTTGGGGAGGAAGATTCCTAAATAAGTCTCAGAGCATATGGTAAATGTTCTAAATCGGGGTGCACATGTAGCAAAAGGAACCCAGAGCAGGGCAACCAGGACCTTCTTGGGGTACAGTTGGTGGGATCAAGGATCTGAGGATACTGATCCAACTCAAGAAGAATGAGAAAGATTGTTGTAGAGGAAATGCTGAGGCGAGGAGATGAGGGGATGGAAGGTGGGGGACCCCAGCATGCCTACCTGCTTGAAGAGGGCAGTGTCCTTGCGGTGCGATGCGGCTGATGGCGTTGGAATGTCAGTGGCAAGTGTCCACTCCCAGAGTGGTCAGAGGGGAGGCAGGAGGGGCTTGTTGGAGAACAGGCAGACTCTCTGGTTTGAGGGGTTTTTTATAATTCTCACCTGAGGATATTTTTTCCCTTGCTTTTCAGAGAGAGTGGAAGGGGGAGAAGGGGCAGAAGGGGCGAGAGAGAAACATGGGGGTATGAGAGAGTCACACCGATTGGTTGCTTCCCACATGCACCCCGACTGGGGCCAGGGATGGAGCCTGCAATCGAGGCACGTTCCCTTGGCTGGAATCGAACCTGGGACCCTTCAGTCCGGGGGTCGGTGCTCTAAACCCTGAGCCAAAGCGGCTAGGGCTCTGGTTTGAGTTTTAATCTCTCAGGTGTGGCCAGCTGTTTTCAGTTGAAAATAGATGGGGGTTGAGAGGATGGCAAGGATAGGATAGAATTTATTTTTCTTAGTGAAAAATAAGGCTGTTTCTACTTAGTGGATGAACTGGACTTAAATGTAGCCTGAAGCTCAGACTTTTCAACCCGCTCCGTGAACAGCGCTCACTTCCAAAGCCACGTTTATGGAGAGGTCTCCAGAAATTCCTGGCATGACCGCACTTGTTCTCTGTATCTCACGGATTAAAGGATTAAATTGCACTTATTATTTTTGTGCACACGTTGAGTAAAAGCTCAACCACGTTGAATGTTTTTATTAGGAATACTGTAAAAAGTTTAAATTCTACGTTTTTGTGTGAAATGCTCAGTATTTTAAGTTTTAAAAGTTCTGAGGGCTTCAGTGATAGAAAGTTGTATCCCTTGTTTTTCCAAATGTTAGTGTTTTCCCCACGACGCTGCATAGTGATTCTAGACAAAGGTTTTTAAAAAAATTATTTATAATTTGTCAGGTAACTCAGGGACAAAGTCCGGGTTTTTCTGATTGCTTAACAGACTAAAATAGTGCATGAGTTTTGGTTTTTTCCTTATAACATGTTGTGTCTGTTTGCTATCGAAGAACTGATAATTGGACTTCGCCAGTGCCAGGTACACAGTGCCAGGTACACAGAAAGGTACTTGGATTGTTCCCAAACTGACCCTAGGTGGGGAGAATGGATTTGCACC